CCCCAAAACCCCAAAACCCCAAAACCCCAAAACCCCAAAACCCCAAAACCCCTAATAATATAAACATGCTGATAAATACTAAAGTTATATAATATTAATACTAAAAGGTAAGCATGCCGTAGGCAAGGTTTACTCTTCATCTAAGCTGCACTGAGCTAGTTGAAGAGTGAAAACTACAGGAAATCTCTACTATTTCCCAAACTGCAGAGCTCAGTTAATTTTTTTAGTATTTCTTATCTTTAATAAGCTGTCAATAGTACTTTTTATTTTCTGATGCAAAATACAAAACATACGATAAATAAAAATATTTAAACTCGCTGTGGTATCTTTTAGCAATTATTTTAATGCGAATTGGCTCATTCAATTTGCCCCCTGAATTTTACTCCATACAGTCCAAAATTTCATCAGAAATCCCTAATTTCTGCCTCTATTTCTCCTTTCTAAAGAAGAGGTAATCCTGTGTCCCACTTCCTATGTCCAATTAAATGTAGACATACTAGTCTCTAAATACTATGTTTTTCCTAAATTTCTCTAAGCCCGTGCTTGTCATGGGATAAGGGCAAGAAGTTTATTATCTACATCTATTACTGATACTTATGTTTTTATTTTACACAGGGTAAGGTTTACCAACCAATTTTAAATTGATTTTGCAGTAGACACTCTTTTTCTGATTATTTTGCTTTTTTCCAGCCTTCGAGGAAATCTGAGATTTTAGAAACAGCTCATATATCTAGTTGATAAGAGCGATTATATAAAATGACGCTCTTTTAATAAGAAATGCAATCTTACGTAAGCCCAAAATCTTTCTGAAACTGCCTTGTAGAGGAAAATAGAGCCGAGCCTGGTCACCTCATTTTGCTGAAAATAAGTAACTTTTCCCTACACTCTCTTTTGGAATATATTCTACCAATTTTGGAGGGGGACATAATCAAGCGTGTTAATATTCCATAAATTAAAAAGTTCACTTCCTTTTTTTTTAAAACTCGACTTCATATATATTTTAACCAATGAACTATTTTTTGAGTTATAACCATAATTTCAAACTTTTGACTTCTCTTAGGTTTAAAATTTGGGATTTCTCTGAAGCAATTTTTGTAATGAGAGGTTCCACAACTCTTTTAAGCTAAAAAGTCGCTGAAGTCTGCACGTGCGGGACTAACCCTCTTAGATTGAAGCTAAAGGCTTAATATGAGGAGATTTATGATCTTGAGAACATTTTTGAAGGAGATGATGAGGGAAATAGACCTAAATTATAATGACTAGCTTATTAAATTTTCTCTAGAAATCTTATCACACACGTATATAGATTTAAACCAGAACTACCAGACTGAAGAAATGAATCCAAATACACCAAACTGGACTGAGCCTCAGAAGTCTTTTATCCAAATTAAGGATATTGAAGAAAGCATTAAGAAAGAATCGAACCTTTGTAACCAATCTAGAGTAGAAGAGTCATTAAATACTCCCTTAGCTATCGCTCAGACCTTGAATCAGGGTAATAAGATCGATCTGGCTACCCTCGATTCGAGCCTTAGAGAAGCCCAGACTAGCCTCAATCAACAGATTATCTTGATAAAGGTTCTGGAGAATGCCAAGGCCAAGATGGTACAACAACAAATTTCAAAAATGACGCCCAACCCAGATATGTTCTCATTGATACCAAAAGGCAGCAATATTTTTGCTCCAAAACCAATGCATGCAAAAGTAGAATTGGGTAGGATAGGAAGATCTAGATCAATGTATGTTACCAATAACCCATTGAAGACCGAGTTAGAAACAGGGGAAAAGAGTGTTGCGTCCGATAAACGTTCTGAAGAAGAAAACGAAATCAGCGGAAATAAGGATCCGAGCGAGGCTGGTACAAACCGAAAGCGGATGAATGTATTCAAATGCCCTCATAAAGATAGAAAACACTATGCTAAAAATATGTGTAACAACTGCTATCATAAGTTAGGGAGAAATAAGTAAAGCTACTGCTTGTCCCCATACAGATAGACAAAACTATGCTAAAGGAAAATGTCAGAACTGTTACCTCAACGATTACCACAAAAATAAAAGGAAACAGATAAAACAAGCTCTGCTTGCTGAAGAAGAAAAGAAAGGAAGGACTGTTTCGGTAGAAACTTCGAACTCTGATGGTGTGAAAGCAGCTACAGCTCCAGTTGAAAACCCCACGTAGTCTATTTCAGCTCGAAAACTAAAGGGTTCAAATTTAAATTTTCATCCTAAATTTCATGAACTCTAAAAATAATGATACTATAAGTTTTTAAGCTTTATAATTTCAATCTTGTGATATAAATAAGGGGTTTTGGGGTTTTGGGGTTTTGGGG